GCTGTGATAGATTCTGCATGTACCCGACATAGTTTCTGACCTCTGGTTTAGCATTGCTAATTAACAAAATTTTAAGTACATATATTGTGCCTCCCTAAACCGATTGTATGTTTTCATGTAATGAGACCATAAATTTTTTGTATTAATTCTTTCAAAAACTGTAATGAGTATCTATATATGATAGCCACTGTTGGTATAAGGAAGAAAAGCCATGATATGGTTCTCAAAGAAATCCAGACAGTTATAGTGAACTATGGTAATTATTACCAGAAAACTTCAGTGAGATTAATTCTTAAATTTTCTTGGAGTATTAAAGACTTTTTAAAATAAATATTTTAATATATTTATTGATTTTAGAGAGAGAGGAAAAGAGAGAGAGAGAGAGAAGCATTTATGTGAGAGAGAAACATGGATATGTTGCCTCCCCTGTGCTCCCTGACCAGGGATCAAAGCTATAAACTAGGTATGTGCCCTGACTGGGAATTGAACCCACGACCTTTTGGTATACAGGATGATACTCCAACAGAGTCACACTAGCCAGGGTGTGAGAATGATCTTTTCGGCTGAAACTTAAAGGGCAGAAGTGTTTTGAACACACGAAGTGAAGCGTGACCAGCTCAGAAAGATGGAACAGCCTGTGCAAGGCACAGAGTAGAGGATGTGGAGACATGACCCTGAATGCATGTGCGCGGATCCTGCTGAGTGTAGAGTGACTGATGGAAAAGAGACTGTGCAAATGTGATGGGTAAACAACTGTGTATCTATGCAAAGGATCTTACATGGTATGTTATGATTAAACATGTTGATTAGGCAAGAAATGTTTGGACTTATATGTCAGCCCCCTGTAGCAAAATGGAGAATAAAGGGGAAGAGGGACATGACTGGGGAGGGGACTGGAACAGAGGCTATCGTAGAGAAGCCGGGGTCAATGGGGAGAAGGGAGCAGATGGAAGGAGAAAATGCAAACAGTAAAGGGAAGGTAAACCGGACGGATGTTGGCGTTTGGTAGAATGTGGGGGATAAGATGGAGAGAAGACAAAGATATTGTCTATCTTGTTCAGAACTGTCTCTCTACCACCTTGAAGAATGTCTCAGCTAGGTTCCCGGTAAATATTTGTCAAACAAATAAAAGGGACGTAAATATATAGGTAACTCCTGGGTTTCTAAGGTGGAATGTTTATGCCAGTCCCAAAAAGAGGGATACAGGAGTGGATGACAACACATTCATCTGTGAACTGCTGAACATACAGGTGATTCCTAGAAGAATAGATGATCAGGTACATTATAAGGATGTGGGGGTAGGAAAGGAAGAAGAGATAATGAAGGAAATATCAAACATGACCGCAGAAGCAGAGGAAGATGATTAGTTCAGGTTAAAACCACAAGTCAAGAGAGACATTTTCCAGCTGAAGTATTTGAAAGGGTAATTTGTCCGCGAGTTCAGTGAGAATAGTCTGGAAGAATCAGTAATCAGCTTAGGGAGACTCAGGGAAGAAGAGTATAATCAGTGCTTGGGAGTGAAGGTCCCTTGCCTTTTTACAGAAGGCATGTGTCAGAAATTAGAGGTTGGCTTGCGCTTCAAGTTATTGTACAAACTCTGTGGCTTTGTGCATCTTTTAACCTAAGAAAGATACAGGCAGCATATGGAATGGTAACTTTAGTAATGACAGCCAGTATGCAGGTCAGAGATGGATGCTACAAAACAATAAGAACAGTGCCTAACTGTGGAGCTATTACCATTGTCAAAGATAACCTGACTTGAACCATAGTTTCTTATGTGGAATAGATACTTTCAAATTGTGTGGTTAATATTAATCACTGTATATTTTAAAGGAATTTGTTTCTTTAATTAATAACTTTATGCTACACAAATTGATGAATCATCCCTGCATATTACATTATGGGCAATAATTTCCTACCTTAGTTCATCCCTGTATGTAGTCTAATTTAGCTGTTCCCTAAAGGTTTTGAGAGGTTGCTCTCAAATATTAGTTGCATAAAAGGCACCTAAAGGTGTTTGATAAAATTCTTTTACTTGAGTCAAGAGGGCCTGGGCATTAGCATTTTAACAAGCACCCTCATAGGATTCTCATATAATGTGAAGAGGTCTACTTGGAGAAGCATTGCTTTAAAAAGAATTTAAGGGGAAAAAATGGGAGGGATTTAGAGGAACAAGTATAAAGGACACAAGGACAGTAACTAAAGGGGATGGAAATGGGAGGGAAGTGGGGAGCACGGGGCAGGGTGGGCCGGGATGGGAGAAATAGACAAAAAACTGTACTTGAAAAATAACTAAAAAAAAAGGCAATTGTGCTACTTGCATTTTTTAGCTGGTGTTCTTGCTCCCCCAGGTGGTGCAATGTATAATTGCATCTTTCAGATTTTCCCGTTTCACTGATTAGAAAATAGAGCTCCACAATTTATTTACCTGTTTATCTAGCCTTCATTTAACAATATCAATGTACAAATGCCAAATGCAGAATTAGCACTCATATCCATACATACAAATAAAGTGACTATAGAAAACCAAAAAAGTCACCTGTAAAATTCCACAATTTAGAAAAGCTGTGGCCTAAACATTGCTGCAGCTTCTCCTCCTTCTTTTCTTCTTCTTTCTCCTCTTTATTTACTTATTGATAATTTAAAGGGGTATTTAGTAGAAGAGTACCAAAAAGCTATTTGGTAGCATTTTCATGGAACAAGTGTTCATGCTTTGCTTGGGTTCTTCCTCTGTGAATCATTCAGGATTTAGAAGACATATTTTAAAACAAGAAGGACCCAGGGTGTGTAATGCTCATTTGAATTTCACTTGCTATGTTTTTTCTTTTGCTAATGGAAAGGATGTAATGGATAAAGAAAGGCTGTGGTGTGTGAGAATTAGAGAGTGCGGGGCTGGGAATACCTCCTTTCTTCCCTTCTTCCCTCCACGACTTCTGGCAGTCAGTCAGCCGATTAGTTCCGATAACCCCCTGGGAGGAGCTTGTGTGTGATGCGCTGATAACTGGAACACTGTTTCCATGAAGGGGAGAGATGTCTAGCCAGCCAAAGCCTGGCATAAAGCGTCCATGCCCTGAGTGCAGGGCAGGCCGCCAAGACTCAGAAGAGGGAGAGATTGACTAAAGCGGTGGGGGCAGGGTAGCCACCGGGGAGGTCTGAGTGGAGATGGCATCCAACTCGAACCCCTGATAATGGCTACTTTTTAAGTACTTTATGCAACTGTGTTGCCGATTTACGTCATACAGTGATCTGTTCTTGAAAATAATGTTTTTCAATTACTGCTTTTATTTTGGTTCTTCATTCATTCAGCACTGATTATGTGTCAGGCAGTGGCTCAGTGTGGGCAGATAAGGTCAAATGGGGACGACCGGTCTGTGTCCACACAGACCTCCCACTCTCCTAGTGAAGGCAGACAGGAAACAACAGCCTAAAATAGATCAAGGAGTTATAAACTGAGGTGGGGAATAACTTGGATGGGGTGGGATAAGACCTATTTCTGTGAAGGGGGCTGGGAAGGCCTCCTGGAGCAGACACAAGCTACTGTGTGCATTGAGTTCAAGGGCTGTGCATGTATTATGTTATGCCTCACAACCCTACTAGAGAATGTACCATTATTATGCCCACTTGGCAGGAAAGGAGACTGAGGTTCGGGGATATATAAAGTAACTTAACAGATACTTTGTGAGTGGTGGAAACTGGATTTAAGTCTACACTGCCAGGCCCCAGAGCCTACTGCAGTGACCGCTCTGATAGCCACCATGCCCTGTCCAGGCAGAAGGCAGAGTGTGTGCAAAGCCTGGGAGACAGGAAAACTCTGGGTACCTGAAGCACTGGAGGCAGATGGTAGGACCAGGTCACGGAGCTGGTGGGAGTGGTCTGGTCGAGGTCGGAGACAAGGCAGAGGCCCTGTGAAAACGTGGTAAGGAGGTCTGGATTTCATTCTGAGCCCAGTGGGAAGTTGGGTGTGTTTTAAGCCCATTTCAAATAGGATGAAATGCCTTTTAAAGACGTGACTCTTTCTCCAACATGGAGAATGGGTTACAGGCAGGAAAGGCAGTAAGAAGACCAGCTAGGCGTTTCGGCAGCAGAGGTGGGGAAGAGATCTGAACAGGTTTTGGAGGTACAATGAACAGCACCTCCCAGGATCAAGTGTCCCCATCCTCACAGAGGTGGTGGGGGGATGGCACATTAAACTGCACTGGTGGCGTGGGCTACTTTCAGACATGTGTTAACGCAGAAACCAATGTATTAGGAGATCACTGAGGGAGTTGAACAGAAGAACATTATTTCCCCCAGCACAGTGGAACTGCTGATGGTTGAGAAAAAGGTCTTTTTCCAGTGTACTGTGTTAATTTCACAGATGAGGACACTGACCTCAGAGGAAATAAGTGATTAATTGCCTAACTAGTTAGTTATCCAGTGGGGAGTAAGATGCAGGTGCTTTTCCTTGATCCCACACATGCATAAGTGGTTTGTGCTTAAGACAGACAACTCTAACATATTAGGTGATTTCCCACCAGTTCGCGGGCACTGGAATACTTGCTTATAGGCCAAATACTCTCTTCCTTTCTTACTCCTTTAATTTGATGTTGTTTTCCTTGATGGCAGCCATTCCCATTTCACAACACATGGTAAAATGCCGTTCCTATGAGAATGTCCCTTCTCTGCTTACATACGAAACAGAAAGAAACCGAGAAAAGGACGTCGATAAGCTCACTTCTCGGGTGACTCGGTTACCATCTCTGACCTCATGTCTGCAGGCAGGAATTCTTGCCCTTGATTAGAAGAGGTAGCCCTGATGTGAATGAAGTTACAGAAAAGGTCAGGGAACTGCTGAACACTTGGGACCACAGGGAACGTGCTCGAGGCAGAAAATAGGAGGAAGCATTGGCCTCTAAGCAAATGTCTCCTTTATCCACAGCCAGGGAGAGTGTCCATGAAGAATCTCCAAATCACTCTTGAAGGAGCTAAGCAAGTGCTATAGAGGATCTGATTAATCTTACCGTGGCCCTTCTGTCCAGTGAAAAGTATTAAGTTATTTTGCAGCGCCGAGTGATTGTTTGCTAGCTGAAAATTCAAGTGGAATTCATAATCGAAGCTGATGTCTGGGATCCGTGAATAAGCCAGGAATGAAGTGTGTCCAAAAGCATCCATACCACTGAACCTGGGCTGAGTAATATTAATAGCTGTGGAAAAACCGAAATTCAAATGTTAAAATAAACCCACACATGTTCTTGTTAAAAGGAGGGTTATAGTTTGCTGGTGTATCTGGCCTGAAAGTCTGTTTACTATCACATTAATTATACTTAAATGTCCTCAGCACTCAGCAATTAAGCGACTCAACAGGGATTTCAAAACCAGAACCAAGGAAGTATAGTGTTTTGAGAGCCTGTGTATATACCCTTTCACTCACATATCCTTTCTGCACAATGGAGAATTTACTTAAATAGAAAAACCTTGTATTTTGAAGATTAATTTTAGAAATAGAAAAGGTTACTGGCACACAAAAGTATTTACCCAGGTGCTTTGTAAGCGAAATTTGGCATCCAAACACTGGCTATGACTTAGAAAAGAATTCACAGCTTGGAACTGTGTTTCTAGTCCTGCCCCCTTTTAGTAACTGAAGCCATTGGTCAGGGGTAGGAAAGCGAAGAAATCAAAAGGGAGTTTGATTAGTTTCCATTACTATATGGTGAATGACCAGACCTTTTGCTGAAGAAGAAACCATTGTCTAAAAGAAATACTCATACTTCTGGTCAAGATGGTGGCACAGGCAGACATGGCTCACCTCTTCCCACAACCACATCAAAATCACAACCAAAATATAGAATAATCATCACTCAGAACCATCAGAAATTGAGTTTAATGGGAGTCTGACAACTATGGAATTAAAGAAACTACATCCATCCAGACTAGTAGGAGGGGCGTAGATGTGGAACAGGCTGGTCCTATACCCATGTGTGGTGGGTAAAAATTCGGGAGGGATATATTAAGAGTGAGAAGTCCCAGCCCCACACCAGCCCAGGGTTCCAGTGCCAGGAAGATAAGTCCCCAAAACTTCTGGCTGCAAAAACTGGTAGGGATTGAGTTGGTGGAAAAAAGGTCTAGAGTTCCAAGCAGTTCCTCTTAAAGAACCCACACACGGACTCAGGCTCACTACCTCTGAGCTCCAGCACCAGGGCAGCACCTTGAAAGGGACCAGTGAAATATAGGGATAAATCAAAATATCTGGTGAAGCCAGAGACCATTGTCTCTTCTCTGAATCCTCCCCCAACAGAGCCACAGATCTGGCAAGCTGGTGCCTTATCAGAGATTCTATCAATTTGACACTATTAGATCCACCTTGGAGATCCCCAGAGACTTGGGCTCACCCAAGCTGCATTCATATGAATGGCTGGTCTTGGCTCAAGCTTTGCAATTTCCTAAATCTTATCAAATAAGCAATAGCTGGCCTCAGGGAGCTCCAGGCCCAATATTAGCAGCAGCCAGCCTAGATTCATAGCCTAACTTTGCTTGGAAATCTCCAAGCCCAGCACAAGCAGTAGCCATCTCAGATTACTTCATAGCTCAGGCAAGGTAGCCCTGAGCAAAACACAGGCGGGGGCTGACTTTGGCCTGCACCATCTGGAAAACCCCAAAGCCAGAGCACCAAGTGGACAGCTACTGACCACATCAGAGTACCACCACCCTGCCATTGCTCAACTGATACTCCATGAAGGGTGGTGGATGGTGGTCAGTTGTGGGTGGTCAGTGGTCACAGCCAGTCCTTGCAGCTGACTGGCTTTGGTAAATCTCTGCCATTGACCTGCCATCAGCAATCAAGGCTCAAGTACAAGAGGAGGGTGTATTCAGCCACATAAAGGGTGCACCTCGAGTACCCAGCTTGGGTGATAGGGGAGGTTGTGCCACTAGACTATAGGACACCTAGTACATTAGGTCACACTATCAAGACACAGAGTCAAAGCAGCTCTATCTAATATATAGAAACAAACACAGGGAGGCTGCCAAAATGAGGAGACAAAGAAATATGGCTCAATGAAAGAGCAGATCAAACTCCAGAAAAAGAGCTAAATGAAATGCAGATAAGCAATCTATCAGATGCAGAGTTCAAAACACTGGTTAGAAGGATACTTAGGGAATTTAGTGAGGAGCTCAACAGCATAAAGAATATCTAGTCAGAAATGAAGGATACACTAAATGAAATAAAGAACAATTTATAGGGAAATGACAGTAGAGTGGATGAAGCTGTAAATCAAATCAATAATTTGGAATATTAAGGAAGCAAAAAAAAAAACAATCAGAAGAAAAAATGCAAAAACAACAACAACAAAAAACCTGGGATCACATAAGCAGCCTCTGGGACAACTTCTAGAGATTCAACATTTGCATCATAGGGGTGCCAGAAGGTGAAGTGAAAGAGCAAGAAATTGGAAATCTATTTGAAAAAATAATGAAAGATAACTTCCCTAATTTGGTGAAGAAAATAGACATGCAAGTCCAGGAAGAACAGGAAGCCCCAAACAAGATGGATGCAAAGAGGCCCACTTCAAGACACAAATTAAACAGTCAAAGGTTAAAAATGAAGAGAGAATCTTAAAAGCAGCAAGAGAAAAGAAGTTAGTTACCTGCAGGGGAGTTTCCATAAGACTGTCAGCAGATTTTTCAAAAGAAACTTTGTAGACTGGAAAGGATTAGCAAGAAATATTCAAAGTCATGAAAAGCAGGGACCTACAGCCAAGATTGTTCTATCCAGCAAAGCTATTATTTAGAATCAAAGGGCACATAAAAAGCTTCCCAGACCAAAAAAAAAACCCCAAAAAACAAACAAACAAAAAACCCCAAAACAAAAACAACTAAAGGACTTCATCATCATTAAATCATTATCATATGAAATGTTAAAGGGACTTATTTACGAAAAAGAAGATCATGGATGGAACTGGAGAGCATTATGTTAAGTGAAATACACCAGGCAGTGAAAACAAATACCATATAATCTCATCTATAAGCAGAACCTAATCAAGAAAACCAAAAAGCAAGCAAAATATAACCAGAGACATTGAAATAAAGAATAAACTGACAGTAACCAGAGGGGAGGGGGCAGACAGATAATGAGGTACAACAGGGGAAGGGTCATCAAGGAATCTGAATAAAGGACCCATGGACAAAGTCAAAGTGGGTAGGACCCAGGGTGGGAGGTGGGGGTGGGTGGGGTAAGGGGTGGTGGAGGGGGAAAATGGAGACAACTGTACTTGAACAATAATAAAAAATATGAAAGGAAATGAATAAGAAGCTTAAAAAAGAAAAGATGAAAACTATGAACAATGAAATGGCAAAAAATACATATCTATTAAGAATTGAATCTAAAAAACAAACTATTCAAACAAGAAGAACAGAGACAGAATCATGGATACAGAGAGTGTTTTGATGGCTGCCAGATGCAAAGCAGGGGTGAGGGAGTGGGTGAAGGGGTGAGGGGATGAGGGGATTAAGAAGTACAAACAGGTAGGTACAGAATAGCCATGGGGATGTAAAGAACAGGATAGCAAACAAAGTAGTCACAGAACTTATACCCATGACCCACAGACATGAACAATGGTGTGGGGATTGCTTGACGGAGTGGGGGTGCTGGGTAGGGGGGCAAAGAAGGAATAATCAGAACAACTGTAATAGCATAATTAATAAAATATAATTAAAAAGAAAAAATAAAAGAAATATTCATCCCTACTGTGCTGAGATGTTTGTTAGATCATGAAAGCACTGGTTTCAATAGGCCTGAAACCCTAAGGAGATTTCTTAGTAACGGGAAGTGTGGTAAAAAATGAAGTTCAGGGATCAGTGTGGATATTTAATCTCTCTCGAAAATTGATGTTTTGTTTCACTTATTTATGCTTTTATTGGTTGATTCTGTATGTGCCCTGACTAGGGACTGAACTCACAACTTGGCGGATCCAGACAATGCTGAGATGAACTGAATTGCCTAGCCAGGGCAAGCCTCGATCTAATCTTGTATCCAGATTTTCTCTTTTCATTGTTGCTCCTTCATAAATAGTTCCAACTGGCTTGTATTTGCCCATGCCAAGAGAACCACAGGAAACAGGAAGGGGATTTTGATACCCATTCCTGTCTGTTACGAATGGTATTCCCAGGTTAAAGGATGTTCCTGGGGTCTATTTTTACTGGTTTGAGACGGTTTGCCAGAGGAAAGAAGAGCTTGTCTTGATTACCTTTATTGCTCCCTTCTTAGGAGATATTGGCTCTCTTTGGAAGTTGTAAAACTAGAATTTTTACAAGCCTTAAGAAATACACTGGTTGTGGTATCTAACACTTGAAACAAAAGAGCTTCTTGTCTGGCTCTTTTGTGCTCAAATAATTGTGTTCTCCTGGGAAAAGTGATTCTAGTTATCAGAAGCTTTTTTTCTGTTTGTTTCATATAACTATTCAAGTAGGGTAATTGTTTGGAATTAGTTGAATACTTTATTTTAATATTTAAGATTTAATAAAAATCTCATCAGTTTATTCTTTGGGGTGTGTTGTCTAAGATAATATTTTCCCTCATATCTCACCCAAATCTGAAGTGGGATGTTGAGACCTATCACCTTTTGTATTTAGTTTTTATTGTTGCTCAGTTACAGTTGTCCCCCCCATTTCTCTCCCCTGCCCTACCCACCTGCCGCATTCAATCCCCCCACCATTGTCTTTGTCCATGGTTCCTTTACATACATGTTCCTGGACTTGACCCTTTCCCTTCTATATTTATTTTTTATCTAATGAAGTAAATTATGGTTTGTTGCCAGAGATAAGATGACTCTTCCTATCAAGCACTCCACTTTTAGTTGTTCAGGGAAATGAGATGGATTGCAGTCAAAACAATAGAAAAATACTGACAGTGTTTTAATGTTGGCATTAAAAACAGTGAAAACAGAACTCAATTACATTTACTTTTGAAATTTTTTGTGGATTTTATTATATTATTATTATTATTAATTTTTTAAATTATCATTCGAGTACAGTTGTCTCAATATTCCCCCCTTCACACCCCCCCCCCTGGATACTACCCCCTTTGACTTTGTTCATGGGTTCCATCTCCTTTATTCAGGTTCCTGGATGATCCTTCCCCTATTTCCCCCATTGTCCGTCTCCCCCCTCCCTCTGGTTACTGTCAGTTTATTCTTTATTTCAATGTCTCTGGTTATATTTTGCTTGCTATTTGGTTTTGTTGATTAGGTTCTGCTTATAGGTGAGATCACATGGTGTTTGTCTTTCACTGCCTGGCTTACCTCACTTAGCATAATGCTCTTCAGTTCCATCCATGTTGTCCCGAAGGGTAGGAGCTCCTTCTTTCTGCTGCATAGAATTCCATTATGTAGATGTACCATAGTTTTTTGATCCACTCATTTACTGATGGGCACCTAGGTTGCTTGCAGCACTTGGCTATTGTAAATTGTGCTGCTATAAACATTGGGGTGCACAGGTTCTTTTGAATTAGTGGTGGAAAACAGTATGGAATTTCCTCAGAAAACTAAAAATGGAACTGCCTTTTGACCCAGCAATTCCACTGCTGGGATTATACCCTAAGAACCAATTAAGTTTAATATTAACATAGAGAAATGTTAACTAAGTTTAATTAACATTTAAGTCAATTAAGTTTAATATTAACATAGAGAAATGACTTAAAACATCCCTTTCTGTTAATAATTTACAACTCAGTCTGTTCAAAGTTCAGTACATTTAGGTTATGACAACAAATATGTCATATGTATTTCATCATCAGACGCTGTGCTAGATGCTGGTGACACAAAGATAACAAAGCATGATCCCTGTCCCCAAGGATCTAGTGTGTGGTCAATAAATTCACTCAATAGAACTGGACTGAAAACTGAGGCTTGGCTGAGAGATGAAAGGAAAAAACATTTCAGGTAGAAAGAACAGCACATTCTAAGGTGGGGAGGCCAAAACAGCATGTCATATACTGAGGACAGTCACGGATTTTGCACATTGCAGAGTGAAATATTAAACGGAAGAGTACAGCAAATGGAACGAGATAGTCAGATGAGGTCAAATTCTGAAAGGCTTTATCTTTTCTACATCATCTTTGAGTAGTTGGGCAATGATCAAAGTTGCCTTTTAGAAACATCTGGTGATGAAATGTGAAGTTCAGATTAGACAGAGAGAGCTGGAGGACTGACCTGTGGTCAACACGAAAATGAGGACTTTGATGATATCAAGAAATAGAACACGGAGTTAAGGTTACACTGAACTGTGAATGTAAGAAAATTTAAGGGTAACTCGTTAAAAAGGGGTGATGGCGTGATATTTGTCTGAATAATTAAAGTGTTTTCAGTGCTAATATCCTGTCACAATTAAGTTTGTGACACAATTTTATATGAGTAAAAAGAAATCTAATATATTTTGAAACTTGAGGATGACAGCGCCCACAGGAACAGACCTGTCACTTGCTTGGCATTTCTCAGTCTAAAGCTTCGCTGTTCAATCACATTGCAACTTGAACTGTGGCTAGGCCTGAGCTGTTTTCAGTACAAGGCAAAGAATGTGAAACACCTTATTAATAATATTTCATATGCATTAAATATTGGGTTAAATAAAAATATTATTAAACTAAATTTCACTTGTGTCCTTTTTACTTTAATAAATGGGTCTGCTAGAAAACCAAATTACACAAGCAGTTCACATTCTGTTTTTACTGAATAGCACTGCAGAGAGTTCCAGGTCAACTGGCAGGTAAGTTTTTTCTCTAAACCCTTGGTTTTGACTTACCTCAGGGGGCTTAGCCTTTCGGTATCCTTGAACCTGCAAAATGAGCATCTAGGCCATTTCTAAGAGACTCTGGGTCTTCACCCCACTGTCTCCATCATGCTGGATCAGGCAGGAGAACATGGAGGGCCCCAGGTTGGGAGAATGAGGAAGTTCAGCCTTACAAATGAGTCTTTCCAGTTCTTTAAGGTAATCTCTTTATGATCTTTAACCAGGCAACATTTGGCTAATTTGATTACTCTGTTACACAAACTTCCAGATAAGACTTCTGGGAACATCAGTAGTCATCAAATCAGGAGACTGAACAGATTTTAATGGAAATATTTTACGGCCATTAAATTCTTTTTCCTCTTTGTCATCTCTGGTTGTCTCATGGCTTCCATTTGTGAATTTACACATTTTTTGTCAAGTGCTTTTAAAGTTATAGCAAGGGATTGGAATCATAAAGCGGGAAGGGGAATTACAACATGGTGGGATTTGAGCTAAAAATTAATGATTTAATGTGTGGGAGAAGTGAACAAGATCACTAGCCACAGTCTGGGGACATTTTAGGCAGTCAACAGGCTTTGTGTCTCAACACCATCTGAAGTCACTACAAATTCTACAAACCTTCAGTGAAGGGAGAGTGTGACATTCTTTTCCATGACATAGTGCAGTGCTGGAGGCTCAGTGTGGAATCTTCGCACAAATGTTATGTTCGCATACAAAACAAACTTTAGCAAAAATTACCACAAAAAGTGGGTAAACTTCTGACTACTCGAAAATGTATTAAGGCATTTTTTCCCCATTCTCAATAAGGGCAGAGAAATGAGGCATTGCTTTATTTATTTATTTTTTACTTAAAAAAAGATTTTATTTATTTTTTAGAAAGAGGAGAGAGAGGGAGACAGAGAGGGTGAGAAACATGATTGGCCACCTCTGGCACACCCCCAAGCAGGGACCTGGCCCACAACCCAGGTATGTGCCCTGACTGGGGACCAGTGACCTTTCACTTGTGGGATGCTGCCCAGTCAACTGAGCCACACCAGCCAGAGTGAAGTATTGTTATTTTAAATGTAACTATATGTTTTTTTTTGTTTAAAGATACTCTGTATCTTTAGTCTTCTTCATCTGAATTACTGAAGTTTTATGGACAGAAGGGACCAAAAGGAGCTACTGAGAGGTGGGAAGAAGACAGAAAGAGCTCAGACAGCACAACATCCTCCCTGCAATCCCACCACAGAGATGCTCCCTGGAGCCACAGGAGGCAGCAATGGCGGGGCCACCCGGCAAAACGTAACTTGTTTGTTTTAATTTTTTCATCTGTGCCATGAGGACAGCAAGAGTACCTAACTCTCAGTGAAGGACGAGAAAAGGGTGTGGCTAAGGGAACCACTCCTGAGCTAACCCCAAATCTCAGGTAGGCAAATCTCTGGCACCAGCCCTGTGGTCCCTCTACATCTTCCCAGTCAAGTCACTTTGCAGTTTCTAGGGCAACGTCTCCTGTAACATCTCATATTCATCTTCGCTCTCTCAAACAATGATCTTCTTCCGTCCCTGAGAAAAATTAACTCAGAACAGAGGACTACCCCATTCTTCCACCATCAAATCCTCCCAACCCTCCTCAAGTCTTTCGTTTTGATTGGTACGTTCTGCCTTCCCGTGGGTTTCAAGGCCGGCTCTGCCTGGGGATGGGATCCACTCCTCATTTATTCGTGGGCATCGCTTCAGCCATTCTTTCCTATTTCCTGAAAGGCACCAAATTCTTTTTCTCTACTCAATCATTTTCTTTAACATGAACTATGTTAGAATATTGCCTTCTGAAAAAAAACCTGCTTTCCTCAACTCCACATTCCTCTCTAACCAGTGGCTCCTTATTTCTCTGCTCATCCTTATAGCAGCTCTTCTAAGGGAGTATCTGTAGTGACTCTTTCAGTTTGTTACACCCTTTAATTCTTGACTTCATTTCATTCAGGTTATCTTCTCTATCTTTCCTTTGAAACTTTTCTAGTATCTTAACTGTTCTGTTCTTATGTGACTAAGGGAATATTTAAAGCTATTGAATGAAGTTGAGAAATAGAATTTCTATGCCATTACCAATACTAATCATTGCTTATTTGATTTTTTCCTTTTTCTAGTCATCTGTTTCTAAATAATAAAATGTTTTTGAATTTTGCCACAATATCAGAACCTCGAATCTTCCAGTATGGACAAAATTTAGACAAAATATTACATACTGATACTGAAAATCAAGCCAGAGACCCCCAGCTTGACAACTTATTTCTTTATGATTAAACTACATAAATATAACTAAAATTTCATCAATTTTATCTTATAAACATTGTTTTCTCTTTAATATTTATGATAATATCTCTGTAATATGTAAGCTAAAGCACTAAATATGTTTCTTGGGGCAATTACCAATAATAGTTTTCATCGGAAATTTTTGGCTTTTACTCAACAAAATATCTGTATGATTTCTCACGCTCTTGTTTAAAATTTTAAAATATGGACTTAAAAAAAGTTCCTAAATTCATTAATGAATTCTTAAAAATGTATGGTGCTTTCAGGATAGATTGTCTTGTCTAAATCTTTTTTTTTTTTAAGCCCACAGCTCCATTTTTATACCGATACTTCGTGCGGGTTGCGGTATGTAACCTCGGCAGAGTGGACACCAGGGGGCGCTGAGCTGGTGAAAATGCAATTCAGTTCCTCCTCCCCTATTATGTACTTTAATGAAACAAGCAGATGGTAGATGGTTTCCCCTCTGGAAACCGCTGATTTCGAAGACTCCAGTATGCCAGTTTTGCAAACATGGTGCTCAGCAGCATATAGCACCTCAAAATATACATTTAACTTTGTCAGGAAAATGACTTTACCCTTAGGCAGATGGATAAGTTTGCAAAAACACAAGACCACTACTTGACTCTTCAGTTTTCTTCTGTAGATTGGAGTATAAACGACTTTTCTCTCTCTTAGTTCTTAACTTCTTATAAAATAGCATGGATTTAGCTCAATATCTTGCACCAATACAATTAGATTATAAAACCATATACATGATCGATCACTGTTGTTTCTGTTTCTGTTGCTGAACAAGCTTCCACAGTGTTCAGCATTATCATTTGCAAATAAAAAAGTGGTAATCTACCAGTGTGACTTTCACTGAAAGAAATAGAAATAAGTCTCTCCTGAAATGTTACCAATAGTAATAGGTAATGGTGCCCTGCACAGAAAACACACACTTAACTATTCATTTTGAACCAGGATAACAGGCAATACATGAATGAAACCAAGATCTCTACTCAAATAAATATATAATATTTATTTCAGCCACAGGTGAAATCATGAAATAAATATCATTGGTTGATTGCCAATTTCTGCGGATACTAAATCATTCAAACATCCTATGTAGATGTATAATTTCTACCATTCTCTCTTCTCCATCTGTCAGAAAAGTTAAGAACAAACAGAATTTTACATTAAGATATGAAAATGTAGAGCATCATTATTCCCACCGGCAGAAGCAATAATAAATGATCAGAATTCGAAGTAGGACATTCTTTTATACATGCATAATTCTTAGAAATTAGTGCCATCTTCTGGCTTCTCAAAGTATTGCTTTATATCTAATCCACATGCTGGTAGGGTTTTTACAGTACCATGAAATGTCAAAACAAGAGAAAAAGTCCCTAAAACATATGAATCACATTGTAACATTAGGAATGGTGTCCTGTGCCATGTATCTCTATCATTCACATTACATAAACTGTGTACTTTATACTAGATTAAATATGCTTTGTAGTTTATTGTGATAAAGTCCCCAGATATTACACTCA